AGTTATATGGCAGCTATAGGATATAGTCGGCCGATCCTTATGAAATTTGGCATGTTGTATTATGTTGCCAAAAAAGCTCTCACCTAAAATTTGAACTCTCTAACTTTAAAAACACCAAAGTTATACCATTTCCGATCAATCAGTTATATGGCAGCTATAGGATATAGTCGACCGATCCGACTTATATACTGCGTGCAAAGGAAAGAAGGATGTGTGCAAAGTTTCAAGACGATAGCTTTAAAACTGAGAGACTAGTTTGCGTAGAAACAGACAGACGGACAGACGGACATGCTCATATCAACTCAGGAGGTGACCCTGATCAAGAATATATATACTTTATAGGGTCGGAGATGTCTCCTTCACTGCGTTGCACACATTTGGACAAAATTATAATACCCTCTGCAAGGGTATAAAAATTCATCAAATCTTAAAAATAACTGAATACAAATAACAAAAATGATAAATATGAACTAATATTTTGTCGTAAAGCCATTATTGGCTATAACAGCTTCACACCTATGCACAGTGGTCGATTTGGCCTCGCTAGCGGCATTTAATTATGATTTTCAAATTTAAATAAACGTTAATTTAAGTTTACCTATCGATAGTATACACCTTGATTAGATGCTAATTGATGTTTTATAAGCTCATCAATAGGCTAATGATCAGCTGTGAACTGTCAAAGTCAACATTTGTTTCAGCAGTTGATATTTACAATTATGGCGCCCTTTTACTTATTGGTTGCATATTTGAATAAATAGTGCAATTTACGATTATTCTAGTGCAAGTTTGGTTTTTAACAACTATTAAGGTATGTGCTACATAGAAAATCTGTGCTTGTGACGTGTCAGTATATGTGTTACTTATAAATTGTAGTGGATTTGGAGTGTACTAACAATGTGTGGAATAGAGCGCACACCAGTCTTTCGTGAAGTAGAACTTAACAAATTCACCTGCATTCACTCTGGTTGCAATTATTTGTTAAGGTGTGAATTATTATCTGTCCGAAATATCAAAAATGAAGTGCGTAGTCCTGCGTATCTACAAGTTATTTCACTTTTTATGAAGAATGTCAGTGTCGAAGCGCGCACTTTTCTTAGTATGGCACGGCGAAGCCGTTACAATCAAATATGATTGTAACGAAAAGGAGTTTTGCAAAATTGGGAAAAATAGTAGTTTTAATAGTGGGCTTGTCCAGTAGTGGAAGAAATGCGATGTAAATAAGGCAGCTTTTGAAAAAGGAATAAAGAATGGCTAGACACGCCTCAGGTGTTGATGGAAAGATCATAATTTAGAAATGTTGGACGCCCAGAGAAAAGTATTTCAGAGTGATGCAGAATAACTCAAATCAACAAAGTATCAGGCATTTCGGAGAAAGTCTCAACGGATGTATTGTTGTTGGCTGCAAGTAGCAGCCTATATAAGGACGGAAATACATCAAGAATTGTGTCGAAGCTGAATGCTGACGAGGAGCTTACCGGGGATATTATAAGAACTGGAAGTACGGCCGGTACTGAAAGTACTAACAATGGAAACACTGCACGAAGATTTTTTGCAAATTTAGCTGCGCGCATAAAAAGAGTAACCAAATTTTAATATTCCGATTTAGCATTATCCTGCGAGCATTGTCCTGTGGACATTACCTAAACACCAATGCATTCGGATCGTACGCTATGGAAACTGCCGAAATTTTTGTTAATAAATACCCTTGGTTTGACATGCCATTGCCTGTTCACAGAATTTTAATTTTTTTGTGTATGATGTATATAAAATTTTTGTATACAATGTATATGTTTCTTATTTGCTTCTTGCATAATATAAGTTATAATTCTATTTCTTACTCTTTTTCTTTAGAATACAAAAAATTTAATAAAAGTATTTTTTTAAATATAAAAAAAAAATTAAAAAAAACACTATAAATTTCATTTTTGTCCACATAATGCAAAATTGAGTAACAAACCGAAAATAAAAAACCGATTGAAGATATCTCTAATATTTCAGAAGTTATTAATTTAATGCCGCTAGCGAGACCGAATCGACCACTGTGCTATGTGGCAAGGAGTCCACCAAGTCCTGCCAACGCTTGAGGGGAATCTGGGCCCACGCGTCCTGTACAAATTGCCAAAGCTGCGGCTTTGAAGTCGGGGATTTTTTTGCCACATATCCCTTGATGTCACCCCATAGATTTTAAATCGGATTTAAATCTGGGGACCGTGCTGGCCACGACATTGCATCAATGTTTTGTTGACTAACGCAACTCTTAGCCAATTTGCAGGTATGTTCTGGATCGTTATCCTGCTGAAATGTCCATTTTAAGGACATATCTTACTGTGCATAAGAAAGAACTACTTTTTTGAATATGTCGACATAGACATTGGTCCATGATCCCATCGATCATATGTATGGGACCACGCCGCTGTACGTAAAACAAGCCCATACCAATATTTTAGGGCCACCGTGCATAACGGTCTTAAAAGTGTGGTTTGGGTGGTTCTCAGAGTTTGGTGGTCGTCGGACATACTGTCTTGCGCCTGTCCCACCAAACAAGTCCAGTTTGGACTCATTTATCCAAAGAATATTGCGCCATTTCGTCACTCGCCACTTCAAATGGCTTTTGGCAAACTCCAATCGAGCTTGGATATGTCTTGTACCAAGTAATGGCACCTTAATGAATGGTGACGTCGCTGATCCATAACTTCAGCTCCGTTTTTACATCCCTAGAAGACGCAAAAGGATTCGCTTTGCTGAAGCGCACTTTTCTTCGGCCCTCAATATCGGTGGTTCTTCGTTTGGACCCACGTGTTTCAGATTTCCCCTCATATTTAATGGCATTGGATACCATTTTGGCAGAACAATATATCATATCTTGGATTTTATATAAGATTTTTCTTGCTTTCTAAGCTGAACTATCAATTTCTTCTTTTCCTTTGAACTGTGGCGTCCTTTACCCACTAAAATCAACATTTTTGCATCGTTATTATGTATTTTCATTTAAATTAAATAAATAAATTTAAGAAAACTTAATTTTCAGCAAATTTGTAATGTTTTCGGCGCTTTTTGTGGATCAAAATGAAAAACTGCTATTTTTATGAACAGCCAAAAACTTGTGATTTTGAACAAAAATGCCCAGAAAACGCCAATAAAAAGCAAGTCTTACGAAATTTTTATACATTCTGGTTATTGGAAAATATGTTGTTGGTCTTGCGTGTTTCCCTACAGGAACTTATAATTCAGATATATTCCTGCACGCTTATTCTTTGAGATCATTGTTTTGGTCTTATACATTAGACCATCTTACAAAAATCTTTTGAATATGGCTTGATGGCTTGAATGTCATCTTTCTGGAAAGCTTAGTGGTGGAGCTTAAGCGCAGGGTATTAGTGCCAACAGCACAGGATGGAAGGTCGATACTGATTTTTTGTGTTATTTGGTGATATTCAGATGCTCTTTTTTGTCGTTTGGTGATTGTTGTTTGATTGTGTTCGTTACTGGTTATTTGTTGCTTACAACTGGGCGAAAGCAGGTGTGCCAAAAATTTTGACGTGTGCAAAAATATTTCCCAAATCGGAAAGTCCTATTTGGCATAAAAATAATTCAAGAAAGGAAAGATAACTTCAGGCGAAGCCGAAGTTGATATACCTTTGCAGTTAAAAGCGGATATATGGTATATCGTAAAAATCGGATATAGTTGGCCAATCCTTATGAGAATATCATAATATTAAAAATTTATTACAATACAAAATTTAAACAAAAGGCCACAAGCTTTTGTCTTCAAACATATGGCAGCTATAAGATATAGTCTGCCGATCGTTATGAAATTTGGTACGTCGGATCAACTGAGAAATATACGGATCGGTCGGATCAACAAAACTGATAAATAGAATCTGTACGAAGTTCCAACTTTCTATCTTCAAAAACGCGAATGTTGCGTCATTTCCGATTGTTCTGTTACATGACAGCTATAGGATATATTCGGCCGATCCGGGCCGTTCTTACTTATATACTGCGTGCAAAGGAAAGAAGGGTGTGTGCATAGTTAAGACGATAGTTTTAAAACTGAGAGACTAGTTCGCGTAGATACAGACAGACAGACGGACATGCTCCTATCAACTCAGGAGGTGATCCTGATCTAGAATATATATACTTTATAGGGTCGAAGATGTCTCCTCCACTGCGTTGCACACTTGTGGACAAAATTAAAATACCCTCTGCAAGCGTACAAAAATAATATAAATAACTAAAAACAATAGTTTGCCATCAAAAGTTTTTCAAAAACCTCTTTTGTACTGGCGCTATAGAAATTCGAAATTTATGGAAGCGGGAGGGGGCGTTACAAAAATTTGAAACAAACTGCGTGGGCATTGTAGGAGTCTCCATGCCAAATCCTATAGCTCTTTCTCTTATGGTGTCTAAGATCAACGAGTTCATACGGACAAACGGGCGGACGGACAGACGGGTATGGCTATTTCGACTCGGCTGTTGATGCAAATGATTTATTTATTTACTTAATGGGGTATGTAATATTTAAAAAAAAATTTTTTTTTAACTTTGAATACAATGCAGAGTCAGACGGAAATGTTTTATATTTGACTACTCGTCGTCCTGATCAAGAATATATCAATATAACTTATAGGATCGAAGGTGATTCCTCTAATTCATTGTACTATTACATATAAAAATATATATCATTTAGAGGGAGGAGAGAATCAATATAAGAGTACGGGGTATCAAATGATAAGTTATACGCGACTCTTAATTTTAATTATGAATTTGTCTTTTTTTTTCAATTTTGATTGGTTAAAATGTTAAGTGTTACATTAATAATAAAACTGATATTCAAAAAAAACATGCTTGGACGAAAAAAAGGGCCAAAAAGAAATGGTTTCATTTTTTTTTACAAACGCATCTACTTCATTATTGTATCTATCAATGTTTGATTTAAAAATAATATTGGTAACAATAACACCAATATAGATAAAAAAAAAAATAATATGACTGACCTAGCTTACAAGAGCATATTTTCTTTTAAAGAAAAGCTATACTTCTCCCAAGCTTGAGACGAATGAATTTTTTTGTTTACGATTTCTCCAATTTTTCAGACGGTTCCAAATAGCAATTATGAAATTGCCGTGCAAATTTTTTACCGATAACTAATTATTTGAGAAGAGTGTGACCGGAAATAATTCTGATGCATTTTCTTTTAAAAATATTCGATTATGTGTCTGTCAAGCTAGCGTCACATATGTTTCGTCTACGGAAAACAGTGAATTCTGGAACACCGGCAAGCTGGTAGCTCGATACAACTGAAAATATATTGAAATACTGAAAACTGCGAATATAATCTGATATTATGGGATGAGTATTATAAGAATTATAATACTAAGAATATGCAATATAAACTAAGAGAGCACGCAATCTAATTGCCTTCCAGGTCTTATTTCACAGAGTAATTGTATATCGTTAATTCAGTTTTTTATACCCAGTAATAAAAATATATATAATAATTTTAAAAGGCCTTATTTAAACCTCGGACCTTATACAGTGGGTCCGATTTTAATCAGGAACCACCTCCTGAGTCGATAAAGGCATTTCTTCTTCCTGAAACAAGGACGTGAAACTTTGACCAAATCCTTCTTTCTATTGCACGCAGCTTATATGTACTAGAGGTCTGCAGGAATACATTCTTATTGCCTCAGCCATAGAATACATCCGAATGGAATAGAATGAATGAGTGCAAGAGACACAACGAATTGAATGAGAGGGAGTGAGAGAGTGAGAGAGCATTGTATCTCATGGGCATTCTCTTGCTTTGAAACAGAGTGAGTTGGGGTGGGAAGTAAAAAGAGTGCTTTTGGAATGAGGAACGCAGGCGAATGTCTCGAATGGTTTTTAAGACACTCTATGCATTCATTTATTTTCTTCTGTTGCGCAAAACGCTTCTTAAATACTTTTTTAATAATGAGGGAATTGACCGAAAGGTGAATTATGATAGAGTGTTTTTTTTACTTTTGTTTTTAACTGTTATTATTATTTTCTTAGTGTTTATTGTTCAGTTTTTCCAAATTAAATTATTTTGCAAATTTTTTTAGCGGCAAAATTGTGCTGGAAAATTATTTATTAATAAATATTGAAAATATTTTTACATATATATAAGTAAAATACGTAAAATAAAATATACAGCATAGTAATGAATATATCTGGAAAAAAAACAATGACTTAATTCACTTTTGAATTATTTTATTATCTTATAATTATTATATATTTTATTATTATTTTATATATTTTATTATTGGAATTATTTTATTTATTATTTTATTATTATTTATTATCAGCGTCTAAAAATACAGGCAAATATGCATAGTTGTATAGTACATTCTAGAATGCATTCGAAACAATTCGAAAGCGAACTGTAACTCTAACTCATTCAATTCGGTTTTCATCCCCCGAATGTTGTGCGAGTGAGACCTCCACAGACGCACTCACTCATTCATTAATTTTCGTCTCAGCATTCTATCTCACTCAATTCATTTTCGAGGTTGTGCATTTGAATGTCGTTTTTTAGCTATTCATGCAGACCTCTAATATGTACATCGAAACGGCCGACTGTATCCTATAGCTGCCATATAACTGAACGACCGGAAAAATGTTGGCTTATTTATTTAATCTACTCCATTTCATAAGGTTCGGCCAACTTTATGCGATATTTGCGATTAATAGCCGATTTTAACTGGAAGGGTGTAGCAACTTCGTATTCGAAAAAACTTTATTCTTTTGTGTATTTACTTTTGCAAAGAATCGACATTTGAAACATTTGTTTTTATTTCTAACATATAAAAATAAATCCGAACGAAGATATACACATATCTTTAATTCCGGCCAACTTATTTTCAGAATTTTTTATTCTAATACTTTCGTTGGACAACACGCTTAAAATCAGCAGTGGAAAATGAATAAATTTTCTATTTTCAAATTATTTGAAAGTTAAGAAAAACCAAAAAAGAATGATGGTAAAAAATGTCGAGTGCGGCAGTCATAAAAATTTCATTAAAAAAACTAAATTTACATTTTTAAGTGAAACTGAAATTATGCAAACTTTATCAAACAACATTTTCAAATTTGTTTGGAATGGTTTTTAAGACTTCTGTCTGTATCTCATGCTAATATGTTTGAATTTCTTGACGAAAAAAAGTTTTCTAAACTAAAATACACCATCCAATCGTACTTTCTTTTTTGTTCAGATACTATGAGTACAATTGACGCGTTAGACATAAGAGAATTGGCCATAAGGAACATTTTGATTTGCAGCTAAGTTATATAAATTTAATCCTTAAAACTAGGGCGAACAAACAAATCTAAATGATTTTGAATGACTTTGAATTTTTGTGTTCATTATACTTTTGCCTGAAGACTGAGGTATGTTTCGGTTAAAATGGTATCTTAAACTGGTAACTTATCTCATCCTTTAAATTTGTCGATCCCTCAACAGATCCCTGTTTTATTAACGTTAAATTTTATTAACTTTTTTCTCTTGACTCACTTTTTGGATTGTCAATTATTTTGACACTGGTAAAATTCCTCTCCCATCTAAAAAAAATCGCTTAAACCACTTTATTGAAAGCCACCAAATATATTTCTACTGTCGTAGTGGTGTTTCAACATTGGCGCAGACTCAACTGTCATTTACGACTGCGCACACGATAAGAAGACCGAACCGATAATTATCAGAGCCATTAAATTCAGCTACAGCGAAAATAAACCCGATCTAAACTATCCTCCACAATTTGGAACAACCCGCTAATCTTCCCTGATTAATACTCTAATTGGGGTAGTCTAATCTTAGCTAAAACGGTAACTTCTTGGTTTGCTAGCGCAACCTATTGTACATCTCTAAATGTTGTAACGAACTGTTATTTCTGCTTCTGCTCGCCACAATTTGCCGCGGCTAGCTCACAGAGTTTCGCGGATCCGTTCCACCGAATTTATAGATTTATGGACGTGATTGCTCAAGCCCAGAAAATAATACAATACCGTGCATACGCGCCGGCGGGCCGGGATTAGAAGTTTGCTGCGGACTGTCGCCTCCACTACACCGGGACACCGTGCATACGTGCCGGTGCCAGGTTTGGGAGTTTGTTTGCTGACTGCCGCCTCCGCTACACCGGGACACTGTGCATACGCGCCAAAGCCAGGTTCGGGAATGCCAATTCGTGTCGCCTTCGCTACACCGGGACACCGTGCATACGCTCCGGTGCCAGGTTTGGAAGCTGCCGTATGACGCCTTCGCTACATCGGGCACCGTGCATACGCTCCAGTGCCAGGTTTGGAAGTTGCCTGACCGTGCTTCGCGCTCCCGCTACACCGGGACACCGTACATACGCGCCGGCGAGCCCGAGTTTGTAGTGACGGGGCTGGTGACCGGGGTGTTCTCACTCGCTCTTTGACTTGGGCGTGAGTTCTCGAGTCGGCCGATCCTTGTTTCGCAGGACCGCGCCTGTTGGTTGCGATTCCAGGAATCGGTAAGGCGTACGCAAGACTTATCCTTTCTTCACTTCCTTGCAAGGCTACCTGCCGTGTTCGGGAATGGCCCCTCTCGACTCTGACGCCCCGGGCTCGTAGAGGAAATCGTCCAGCAACGGGTCCTTATCTCCCTTGTCCTGTACGTCTCCTGACTACCGGGCGTGTGATACCGAGTCGGCCTCCTTGTTTCGTAGGCATACGCCAGACTTATCCTTTCCTCACTTCCTTGCCAGGTACCTGCCGTGTTTGGGAATGGCCCAACTCGATTTCCCCACCCTGGTTTTGTCTTGTGTCTCGTCCTTTACGTTTCGTGTACACCGGGCATGCAATCCTGAGTCGGTCTATCCTTGTTTCGCAAGACCACGCCTGTTGGTTGCGATTTCAGGAGTCGGTAAGGCGTACGCCAGACGTATCCTTTCCTCACTTCCTTGCAAGGCAACCTGCCGTGTTCGGGAATGGACCAACTCGACTACACGACCCTGGGTTTTTATGGGAAAGTCCAGCAATGAATCGTTTCCTTAGTTGTCTACTCGCTCTTCTTGCATTTGGCTGTCGGACTCTTCAATCCATTTTAGAAACGCTTTAACACTTTAATGGCGGAATCTCGACAGGCGGTCCTCCAACTCAACGCTACAAGCTTCCTAAAAAGACTCGTCCCGAGCCGCTCCAATGGGCTTCCTTTTATACTGACTGGAGCGCCCGTTAAGCCTCCTGTATTATGCTCCTGCCGTTAATCCTGCTTCCAGAATCACACCACTTTCCCGTTGGCTGGTCGCTGTCCGTGGCCCCTCGTTACCGCCGGCCACGGATCTCTGCTGCTGGTATGTGGTGCACTTGTGGGCTTCCAGGGCCCGCTGCACTCTGCGTCGCAACCCCTCTTAGCTTCTTGCCACTCCTTTGCTGCTTACCCCGCCACACTTTTTAAGGCACGCCTGCGCATCGTGCTGATTCCCCCATTGGACTACTTTTCCATCGTTGCTCCGGAAACCGTTACGTTCCACGTCGATTCCGTCTTCCCCCGGTTGGCGGCGTTTACCCTTTCACTGGACACCGTTACGTTCCACGTAGATTCCGTCCTCCCACGGGTAGCATTATTTCGCCTTTCGCCGGAACCCACGGTAACTGGCTTTCACATTCACAAAGTCAAAGTACTAAAATGTGATCTGTCCACTCTTAGGGACGGCTGCATAATTATTTTATAATTAATCCAGTCATCTTTTCCTTTTTGTGTTATCTTCTTATTAATGCTGTTTTTCCCCATAGGAATAAACCATTTATTTTTCTTTTATTTGAAAAGTTCTTTCTACACCGCTACAAAGCCACCCTCCGCTATATTCAGGCTTTGGAATATTCACAGCGTACTCAAGACTGAAAACACTGAAGGGACGCTATTGACGAATGTTTTTAGGGTGATACTTCCCTATTTAATGACCTTGTAAGTCTCCAAGATCGCAAAAGAAGTTTGAACTCTCTTGTGAACTCTAGATTTTACAAGTCAAAAATTTTATCCTGCCTCAAAATTATATCCTACAGGTATATCCTGTCTGTCTTTAAAGTTCCGCTGTAAACTTCTTGTCCTTCCTTGAACATTACTTTTCTAGCACCCAAGTACAAGTATACTTATACATGTATACCTTTTGGCGTATTGCTCGTACGCCTGTAGCAGG